CAATACCAATACCAATACCAACATGCTGGGCACAAAGAAGACCCTATTAGGCAGGTTGTGTTAACAGTTTCATCAAACCCGTTGGAAGAAACACAACCTACCACAAATCCTATTGTGTTTTGGTATGACGTATGATCCCAATCTTGAACCTACATCAATAAATATGTTTACTGTCATGTTCATGCAGCACATGTCATAGTTTGCATAACTTATTTGTTCCAAATAGTCAAATTTGTTGATTTTGCCAAGCCAAAATAATCCCTTTATGACTTAGAGTGTTATATGGATGAGGCCTGTAGTTGTACGTATTTGCAAATTAAATCAAGATTCAGGGGGTGACTTTACCACAGTAGCCAAATTGAGACAGTTAATTCAGGACCCAGCCGAGCAAGGGCTGTCTATGGCACTGCCTGATGAGCCTACAACCTCGGTGGAGTCCATCCGCCACAGAGAAAGGCTCTAGTTCTTTCTAACCAAGCACTTCATATTAGTCTTTCCTTGCTTCTTTTCCTCCGGAGGTGGAGAGATCGAGACGGGGACGGGGGCAGCCACGGCGGGATCAGGCATCTTGTGGGACTGCCTAAGGGGCGGGGTCCTCGTGCTGGCAGAATGTGATTGGGGGGCGGGGAGAGAAAAGCCTGATGGAGCTGGAACTGCCGAGAAGTGGAGACCAACGGAGTTGCAGAAGCAGAGACTGATATTTACGGCTGTAAACACCAGTCTCCACTTCTGTAGCTCCAGCTCCCTCAGGCTCTTCTCTCCCCCCATCACTTTCTGCCAGGGCAAGAACCTCGCGCCCTAGGCTGCCCCGCAAGACACCTAATCCCACCAGGGCTGCCCCAATTGGCAAATTCTGTGACGGCACGCGTGTCCAGAGAGGGCTCTGAATGCCCATTCTGGCATGCGTGCCATAGGTGTGCCACCTCTGGTCTAATGCATCTTTCAAGTCCTGCCATGCTTTCTAATGTTCCCCTGTCCACTCCCAGGCCATGTCTTTTTGGGCTAGCTGATAAAGGGGTTTAGTAATGACGGCCTACATTGGAACCATAGTCGTGCTTAGCTAGTGATACCCAAAAAGGTTTTCAGCTGTTTAACATTAGTTGGCACAGGCAGTGCCGAGATGGCCTGTAGGCGGCTCTCATGAAGCAAACAGAGGCCCTGATGCAGAACGAAGCCCAGATATCGCACTTCCTGAGTGACCCATTGGACTTTATTTCTCGACACGGTGTAACCCTTGTCAGTTAAATGGTTGAAGAGAGCTATTGAAGTTGCTTCAACATCTTTCTTACTTCTGCCAGCTATTAACAGGTCATCCACACATTGCAAGAGGGAAGTATGCTGGGTATCAAAGTTTTTAAGGTCCTGAGCAAGGGCTGCAGCATAGGCTGTTGAGCTGTTACGATAGCCCTGTCGCAGCCGAGTCCAAGTTAGCTGACACTTGGAGCCATCAGAGGGATCATCCCACT